TTTGGAAAAAATAGTATTTTATTTTATATATTATTGCCCATCACACTTATTATTATTATTTATTTTGTAATCGCAGATATTTCTCCCTTTTTCTACATAAATCATATAACAAAAACAAAATTAAGAAATGGAGTTAACAATAACCTCATAGAAAGTCAATTAATCACCCCTTTAAAAGTATGTCTAAAAGCAAAGCAGGAAATTGCCACAAATCTATGGTTGTACGTCGAACTATAACTAATATAAACATCATCGAAAATATGTAGCATTCCCAAATCTTAACTCTTCTATCACATGCATAGACTCTTCCCATGCCCAAACCTTTAGACAAGGTTTTGAAGTTGCAGCATATAATTATAATAAAAACCTTAACCATTGTACCCTTACCACCTCTACCTACACATGCCTAGCTAGATAATTAGATTAATTAACATTAATTTTAGATGAGTTAAGAGGTGAAGGGGACCGTTTCTATTTCTTGGTCACTAATTTGTCTTGGGATCCTGAAATGCTTTCTTGTTGGCATCTAGGTGGCAAACCTAAATTCGGGTGTTGATTTTTAATTAAAGTTTTAGAAAGAGGGTATAATGTTTCATTTTAAAGGATAGAAAGTCACATTAAATTTAAAGAGTATTTAAAAAATTATATTTACCTCACATAGAAAAGATAAAAAAAGAAAAAAAGAAAAAAAAGATTTAAATAAGTAACAATGGTTAATTACCTTGAATGTTGAAAGAGGAGTCACATAGAGATGCAATTCTTTCTAGTAGGAATTGCGTTAGAAAGTTATACCACACCAAAACTTTTTATTAAAATGGTACAAAGATGTAATCATGAATTACCTCGTCCTTTCAGTGTCATGCAAAATGTATCTTTAATATATAGGACTATATATCATTCCACAAAATCTTCTTGTTGTGAGAATAAAATTATGGTTTATCTTGTCTTTCGAATTTTTACCTAGAATGAGTTAAACTTTCTTCCACAATTCTGCTTCTGCACAACACCATACAACTTTTGACTTATATTCCACTGATTAAGACATGAAGGATAGTTTCTCTGCATTTTATTAATATATTTAGGTGCTTTAGACTAAATTTGATAAAATAGTTTAAATCATACTTTCTAAATAAATAATATTTTAAAGTTCATAAAATCAATGAGATGTATTAAAAGGAGAAATTTTAGATTTTCCTAATTCAGAAAGAATTACGTGAATATAATTTAAAGAAGAAATGTTGAAAATACATTTTTTTATTATTGACAAAGTTTATTAAAAATTTAAAAATATAAAAAATAAACTTGAGTAAGAAAGAGTGAGATTCATATAATTTTTAACTAATAATAAAAAATATGTTACAAAGAATGTATTTTTACTATTGCTCTAATTTAAAATTTCACCCTCTCCTTAACGAAGAAGATAATGAGTTTTGCATGAGAAATATAGAATAATTTATTGAAAAATTTTATAAGTGAAAAACAAATAGAGGAAATAGTTTCTTACTTTAAACAAACTTTTTCAAGTCAATTTTTTTTTATCTAATAATCACATTTTATGATTTTTAAATGTTAATAAATTAAGAATAAGTAAATAACAATTAAGAAATAGCATAAATTATTAAAAATTAAGTAACATCTATGATCACATTGGAGAAACTAGACACCGCATGCTTCTCACAATTTTTTGTGGTAATTATTTATAAATATTTTAATTTTAGTTTTGGTCTCTACAAATTAAAAATCGTAAATTTTTTATCTCTGTCTTAAAGTCTTGGTTTAGTTTCTTACTGTAAGCAATACGTCAAAACAAGTGTCTTGTGAGGTACAACCACTTGCTCCAATGCTTAGTACGTTGGAAGAATCAAAATCTAAACAAAATAAATAAAATAATAATAAATAAAATTTAATTTTAATATATTCTGAATGTAAAGCTAGAAATTAAAGAATATAGTAACACAAAATATTATTAATATGAAAACAAATTTACAATATTAAATAATTAAAAATAACCTTAAATATAATTTTTAAAATAATTATTATAAATTTGATTTTAGCGCATTGTAAATATAAAAAAATTTATAGTGTCAACTAATTAAAATATAATTTTATATATTTTTATATTAATTATCATAAAAATTAATGAATTATTATTACTATGATAATTTGTGATTAAGTAATAACGTAAAAATCATTTTTTATATATTTAAATTAAATTTAATTATTACAATCATTAATGATTTTTCATTAAGGGACAAATTGTCATTACACGACAATTTAAAGGAATTATACAGTTAAAATGTATAAACACGTTCATATAAGTTATCACAATTAAAAATAGGACAATTTTTTTCTTTTAAGATAAGTAACTTTAGAACTATTTGAGTAAAATAATATTTTTATTGTTGTTACTATTAGTACTGTTATTATTATTGATATTATTATAATTAATTATAATTCCTATGTATAAATATTTTTAAATTTATTAAATTTATAAATTTAAAAAGAGTAAATATTTTATTTTTAATAATAAATATTGTATAATACTAAATAGAATCAAATAAAAAGATATGATTTTAAAATTAAAAAATAAATTATGAACAATTTAAAATTTAAAACTAAAAAAGTAAATTAAAATTGAATTAAAAAACAAAAACCTAAATTTTTTTATTATAACTAATAAATATTTTATTATATTAAATTAGAATAAATTAAAAAGATAAAATTTTATATTAAATAAATATATTATCATCCATGATAGAATATAAAAATTTAATCAACTTACGGACTATCACTTTTCGTGAAATATTAACTAAAACAAAATTAAATTTACAAAACGTGCTTCATCAAAAATTAAAACTAACAAATCTATAATACAGGTTCATTGTTATAGTTGTAAGCATTCTTAAATTATTCATTAATTTTAAAATATTTATTTCATTTTTAATTTTCTAAATAATGACTTTTAATGTTGATTTTCATTAACATTTATTTTTTATCTCAAAATTTAGTTATTTATACTCATAAATGAGTTCATTTTAATATGTAAATTTTTTCTATCTTTATCCTAAGTTAAATTATAAGTTTTACTTGTGTATTTTATGCATAAATCCACTTTAAGTGTTTCATTAAAAATATAAATTCAATAATAAATAAGGAACGAATAATATAGTAAATGAGTACATGAATATTTTTAACGTAGATATTTCCAAACTAACAGTTAAAGATTATTTTCTTTTAAGCATAGAGATTAATAAATTCATAAACATGTTTAAACACCGCATTCCATTAAACATATATGTATTTACAAATAATTAAATTATTTATGAGTTATGACCTTAAGATTAAATAAATATTTTTCTTTTTTCTGTTCCCTTTTTATAATTAACTCTTAAATAAAGTTTAAAAAATTTAATTACTTTCTCATTCTTTCAGTCACGACTCTTAAGTAGAATTCAACTTAGGAAAAAATATAATTTCTCGTTTTTATTAAAATTAGATATAATTTTAAATATATTATTAGTTCTCTTACTTATTGTTTTAAATTATTTTAAATTTTATTATTCTCTCTCTCTTCTGTTTTTCTACAAGTGTACAATTGAAAAAGAGTAGGAATTAATGTGATCCTAATTTTCTTAAAAGATTAATATAAACTATTAAAATTACTTTTTAGTATTTACAAATTATTAAAACAATGCATAAAACCATAATTTACTCTAAAAGCTAAAATAAAGTAGAACAACAAATTTAATAAATAAAAAAGTGAAGTAATAATAATGAAACACAAATTAAAAAAAAAAACATTTAATTTGGTTTTTGATCATGCTACTTTGAATTTGTTTGAGGGCATTTGCGGTTTAGTTTGATTGGTTTTGAGATAAAAGTAATACTAAAATCTAACTAATTTAAACAAATATTTTGTAATTTAGATTGAATTTTTTAAATATTTTTAATTTTTAAAGGGTACAATTTTAATTTTTCTAACACATAAATACAAATTTATTAATTAATGTATGATTAGAGTCAAAATAGTAGCTATTTTTTATTTAAGAAATTTTAAATAGAAAAAGTAAATATATAACGATTATAAAAAATTAATAAAAAATATTATATCACATAATAAATCACAACTTAGTCTAAATAAAAAAAATAAATCATAGTAATCTCAAATTATTTTAAAATAACTACAAATATATTTAGTAAAATAATTTTTTAAATTTGTTTATACACGATACAAATTTATATTTAATAAATTTTATTAAAAAATAAATAATTTAATAATTTAAATAAAAATATAATTCTTAATAAATAATTCATATTTATTGAGTTGTAGAATATGTAATGTCTTGGATATTATATTAGAATAATAATTCTACGGTTAGACCCTAATTGGAGTGGTGCATGGGCTACAAAAAGTCACCAACTAAATGTACGGAACTGGAGGATATATGAGGCAGCTTCGAGTTAATTTTATAATTTTATATTTTAAAAATTTTTAAATTAACTTTTTTTAATTCTCTCTTTGATTTTTACCTTACTCTCAGTTTTTTTAATTCTAAACTTTCAAACAAGTCTAACACAAAAATTGTAACTTCTTAACTTATTTTTGTTTATTCTTTTTATCATTCTACTTAAAATAGTCGGAGACAAAGAGAAGTTAAAAATATATTAGTATTTTTAAAACATTTTAAAAGTGATAAAAATGTAGTAATGTAAAAAAAGATGGGTTATAAAAAAATATAAATAATATATTTTTATTAAAAAATAAAAAACATAGAAATGAATAGATTGTTTATCTTCTTACAAAATATTTTTATTTTTATTCATTAAGTTTAATATTTTAAAAAAGATCTGAATATGACTTAGGACAACCAAAACTTGGTTTTACTCTTTATATTAACGTATAATAATGATAGCCGTTAAGGTTGTATAAACACCTTTTAGGCCTATAAAAACAGAGTGCCTTTGGTTCTCTTCACTTCTTACTAATCACAACACAAAAAGCCTCATTCACATTGATCTTCAAATTGTGCTGTGACCCAATAATCGAATCACAATTGGGTTTCAATCTTTCATCTCTCACTCCCTCACACCACAACCACAAGCCTTGGCTCTGTTGCTTCAATAATCTCTCTGTTTTCCTTCACCTTTTCCTACATATTTTTTAATATTAAACAAAAGAAAACGGTCCACGTTCACTGATATATGCAATCCTGTTGAACAGTAACGAAAAGGGTCATTTTATTTATATATAGTTTCAGTTTGTGAAGTCTGAACAAGAAAACCAAAGCCAACTTCGAAAACGTCAGAGAGAGTTCTCTCTTTCTCTTTCGTTCTGTTCCCTCTGCTTTTGCGGCTTCTCGCCGCCTTTGCCGTTCGGTTCTGCTTTTTCTGTGCCAATTGGTGGCGCGCTTTTATTACATTTTGCTCAGTTTTCAAGCTTCTCTCCGCAACAACATCAAGTGTGAATCTCCATGTATATCTCATTGCATTTAATGCTTTCAATGACAATTCTGTGAAGAATTCTTAGGCATTTTTAACCTTTCTTCTCTGTCGCTGACTTTACTAAACAGATAGCAGTGAAGGCTTTTTTGGTTTTTGGGAGATATACAGAGAGTAGAGAGAGATAGGGAGATAGATCTTCTTCTGGTTGCTTCATTTTTCACCTTTTTAAATAAAGAGACATCACCACTTGCCACTAAGGTTGGTGGAAAGTGATCTGCATTGGATTTTCGACTGCTACTTTGGTGTGTAAAACATGAAATGTAAAAATCATGTGCCCATTTTTTGTTTTAACTGGGCTGGTGTGGTGGAATTCAAGTTGTTTTTTTGTGAAAAGTGCAAGGAATTTCCAGTTATTTGGATCTAGGGTGCTTTTTCTTTTCTTTTCTTTTCTTTTGTTCATGTTTTTTGAGGTCTTTTTGTTTTATATTTTTTTCATTTTGTTCTTGGCTTTGGTTCGATGATGGTATTTGTCTCATTTAGTGTGCTTTTATGTGTTTTCAGATCCATCAGGTTCAAGACACTGCTTTTTCTAGTTCTTGAATAAATGGAAACAAAGCAAGCAGAGGAAGCAATAGTAACTAGCTTAAATGAGGCAGAGAATGAAGTGGGTGGTGGAAGAGATGAAGAGGAGGAGCAAGACCAATCTGCGTTCAGTATCAAAAACCTCCTTTGGCACGGTGGTTCTGTTTGGGACGCTTGGTTCAGCTGTGCTTCAAATCAAGTAAAATCAATCCACACCCCATTACTAAAACTTTCACGAAAAAACAATCACTTTGTTTTTTCTTATTTTTCTCTTACCCATTTTAGCTCATCATTAACCATATCTAATTAATTGGTCTAATTTAGGTAGCTCAAGTGCTGTTGACACTGCCATATTCTTTCTCTCAACTGGGTATGCTATCAGGGATCTTACTTCAGATATTCTATGGAATCGTTGGAAGTTGGACAGCCTATCTAATCAGTGTTCTCTATGTGGAGTACCGTACTAGAAAGGAAAAGGAAAATGTCAGTTTCAAGAACCATGTCATTCAGGTATTCTAATTCTACATCCACTGGTTTCTAATCTCTTTCTCTGATAAGACTTTGGTACAACTTTTATTGATATCACTATATGTTCTAGATCACATTGACTAAATTGAAACTAACTGCACTGGATTTCAGTGGTTTGAAGTGCTTGATGGGTTACTGGGTCCATATTGGAAAGCGGTGGGGTTAGCCTTCAACTGTACTTTCCTTCTCTTTGGATCTGTGATACAGCTTATAGCATGTGCAAGGTAAGATATTTTCTTAGTTTCTGCAAAAAAAATGGGGATAATCTAATATGGGTCTGCACAAAGTTTTCTTACATTTTGTTGTTGATGCAAAAACAGTAACATCTACTACATAAATGACAAATTGGATAAACGGACTTGGACTTATATTTTTGGAGCTTGCTGTGCTACCTCTGTGTTCATACCCTCCTTTCACAATTACCGTATTTGGTCATTTCTGGGACTTGGAATGACCACTTACACTGCTTGGTACTTGGCTATAGCATCTCTTATCCATGGACAGGTAAGTTAGTAATTCTAAGTAATAATTTTTTAGTCTTCGAAAATATTATTATTGTTATTGTATGCTTAGGCAAGTTTCTTATTCTTGACATATGATATGGCAGGCAGAAAATGTGACACACACGGGTCCATCAAAGCTAGTGCTGTACTTCACCGGAGCCACCAACATATTGTACACGTTTGGTGGACATGCAGTTACTGTGTAAGTTACCATTCTTCTTCATTTTCTGCACAGCTTCACCTAGCAGCAGCTTTTGCCAGTAGTCTTGGTTTTCGAGACCCTGTCACAAAATCATGCATAATCACTTTTGTTTCTTGGAAAGTTTTTCCCATCCCCTTTATATATATATCTATAGGAAGATAGATTGTTAAGAGACACTGGTCACGCTTACCACCACAAGTACTAGACAATAAAATTTATATTAAAAAATGTGTTAATTTTAGCTCCATGTGTCACTAGGGTCTGAGAACCATCGTAGGTTCTTGGAAACGAGGAGACTCTACCACAAGTACTAGATGATAAAATTTACATTTAAAAATGTTTAATGTTAGCTACATGTGTCGTTAGGCCTAAGAACCATTGTAGATTCTAAGCTGCATGTCATCATTGTCTTTAATCATAACATTTGTTTTATTATTAATCATTGTTACTGAATGGTTAATAAAAGACAATGGTGTCCTATATAACTAATGAGACAGAGGGTTTAGAACATAATCATACTAAGATATAATTAAATAGTGTTACCCTCCAAGAAAATCCTACAGTTAAACAAATGACTTTTTCTCTGTTGGTTCTCTTTCCTTTAAAGCTAATTTTTTTTATCTCAAAAAATAAAATAACAGTTTATTTGAAGGTTGGCTTCCATTGTATTTTTGTCTGCATTGCAATGTGGTGAAACAAACTGGCAATGGAGCCAAGAGGGTCATGGAATTCACTTTTATTTTATATACCCATTTTAGAAATTCCAATGTCCATTATTATGATTATTCCTTGATCTCTGAGTGTAAAGTGAACACTGTTGACAAATGTTGCAGAGAGATTATGCATGCCATGTGGAAGCCACAGAAGTTCAAGTACATATACTTGCTGGCCACTTTGTACGTTTTCACACTAACTCTTCCTTCAGCAGCTGCTGTTTACTGGGCTTTTGGTGATGAGCTTCTCAATCATTCCAACGCCTTCTCTCTCCTACCCAAAAATGGATTTCGTGACGCTGCTGTAATCCTTATGCTCATTCACCAGGTAAGTTTTTATTGTACACGCAATTTTTTGTAATTTGGCACAAAATGTAACCATTCATGAGTTTTTGTCTAAACTAAAAGGGTAAAATAATGTACTAATAAGTGAAATTCTAAATAAATCCGCTTTTTCTACGTTTTTATTCTGTGTTGGATCGTTATATTATATATTAGAAAATGTTAGCATTAAATATTTGTCTGGGTCATCACAGATACGTATAAAACTTGTCATTTAAACCCTTGTTGCAATAAATGTTCCTTTAAATGGTAGTAAGGTTTATTTATTTTCGGTCAACATGTCAGGAACTGGATCATAGACTGATTAAAGAAATCCCGTAATTCAATTTTAAAATAAACTAGTGACAACTGTTTTTATTCCCCCTTCAAGTAAAGCAATTAAAATGTATTTTAATAAGTAAACTATATAGCTTCATCTATAAAACATGTAATTAAGAAAACAATTATAGTTTGTCATGAATGAATATTTAATTTGCCCACGGAAGTCAAAGTTTTCATTTTGAAAGTGTTTTTTAACCCATGATTAGTTTCCCCCTGATTTTTGGGTGATGTTAGCTATATACAGTACATTGGAATTAATAATCTTTTGCATTTTAAAATCCATATACCATTTTTTAAATATTTTTTTTAATAATTCACCTAAATTATATCATACTTCACTTTAAATTTTCCCTCTTTTCTTTTTCTTTTTTTTTAACCACCAAAATAACTACACGGCTGAAATTACTTGTTAAAAATGGTAAAACACTAGTGCTCCAACAAAATTAAGCACATCAAATAAGTACCTTGGTTCCCTTAGTGATGCTTCTGTTAAGTGATTGAAGTGTTGACTATGAATGAATAGAGAAATCTTACTACAATATTAAATGGGTGCAGTTCATCACATTTGGTTTTGCGTGTACTCCACTGTACTTTGTCTGGGAGAAGGTAATTGGGATGCATGACACAAGAAGCATTTGTATGAGAGCACTAGCAAGGTTGCCAGTGGTTATACCCATTTGGTTCTTGGCCATAATCTTCCCTTTCTTTGGGCCCATAAATTCTGCCGTTGGAGCTCTACTTGTTAGTTTCACCGTCTACATCATCCCCTCCACAGCCCATATGCTTACTTACAGAAAAGCCTCCGCAAGACAGGTAAATGTCATTCAATGTTTTTTAGAGCTTTTATGGGATCTTTTGGTCCTTATAACTCACCCTACATCATAGGATAAGATTTTTTTCATGTTGTATTTTCTAGTTTAATGTTTTGAATTAGATGGGTTAGAGTAATAGTGACACTTGCATAGGCTTGTTTTTGATGAAATTTATGAGCTACACGAGGGTAAACTAATTTTTAAAATTATGCCAAGAAAGCTAATAGTATTATAGTAACTGAATAATTTGATCAAAGGACACTTGATTAGAAAACAGGGGTAAAATAGGTAAAATGTGCATATTAAAAAAATGTATTTAATTAGATATAATGACAACTCTTTAACTAGCATGAACTTTTTTACATGTTATCATGCCAAAAAGAAATTGTAAATACATTGAATTGCCTTAAGTGAGTGGAGGCATTATTGAAAATATCTGAATGGAATGAGGGTATGTGTGTGATTCTGCATTCCATGCCAACATCCGTGTTTTGATGGGGACTATTTTCCATATCCCACTATTAAAGTAGTGACCAGTGAACGCACAGTCTGAGAGAGAGAAACATACGGAAAGGGTGAGAGAGAGCAGAAAATGTACAAAAGCATTTAAGGCTTGAGTTTGGAAACATTAGGAGAAGAATGGAAGACTGGTGGGAGGTCATTTTCATTTAGTTATTTGCTACAGTTAACAGTATAGTACTGTGCCTCTGTTGAGCTGGCCTTATTGATTGGTAATATATTTCCCGAATAATTCAAATTAGGACTACATTAATGGAAATTTTGGAACAAAAATCATGCATAGGAACCTGATGTTGATGTTGGTCTTTTGCTGCATTTTTTAATTCCCATTATACTATATATATTCTATTTGACATCATTATTGCTCCTGTTTAAGGAATTTTCTGAATAATGCAAATATAGTGTATAGAGACCTCCTCACTCCTCAATTATCTAACTTAATATTGTGATTTTATTTTGTAGAATGCTGCAGAGAAACCCCCTTTCTTTATGCCAAGCTGGACTGCAATGTATGTATTTAATGCATTCATTGTGGTGTGGGTTTTGGTGGTTGGGTTTGGGTTTGGAGGATGGGCCAGCATGTCCAACTTCATCAAGCAAATTGACACATTTGGGCTCTTTGCAAAGTGCTACCAATGCAAGCCCCCAACTCCACCAGCCATGGCAGCAGCACCACCCCCACGTGCCCATCATCACTGATTAACCACCCCAACATAATAGAGTTCAGCTGAAACTACAGTTCCATCAATATTTTGTATCATACATGGGGGATCGTAGTAATACTCCCCCTTAATTTGATGTGTGTTGGTTGTGTTTTGCAATTTTCATTTTTCTCTTTTTCTTGTTATACTATATAGGTTTTCTTTTACCCTTTGAGATTAGTCAATTAAAATTTTAAAATAGTGTGACCAATGGGTATGATTCCTTTGCTATAAATGCATAGGCTAATTAAATTACTATGTTTGGGATCTTTTCCCCCCTTTTTTAATTTTTGTTTGGAGATAGTATGAGATTTTGTTTCCAATTTATTTTTGTGCTTGTAGATTCAGTTTCATTATTACTTTGCATGTTTCCAAAATATGCCACTTTGTGGAGGGATAGGTTTGTAGGCTATTGTTTACCCTTTCTTGTTTAATTGCGCACTTCAAGCTTTTAGATTCCTCGCCTTTCAATTTTATTCATAGTGAATGTAATAGAGTGGACCCTTTGCACATTCACATGGGTTGCATGTGCCTTTTTCTGTTCCACTGCCTCTTCATGTGCCAATCTTGAGTTCGATATTATTTATAAAAGAAGTGTATGTTAATAATTAATAATGCATGAATCTCATAATGCATGAACCTCTACCTTAGCAAATAAACACCCATATTTCATGTCGTGGGATCTGTCCTGTCTCTTGTATTGTAAAACTTTTCTAGTGTTAAGTGGGCTCATAAACGACTTGAGCCAAAAATATATTTGAGAATTTGAATTAATAACTTGATATGATCATATTAGATAAAGAAAGAAAAGTTTTAATTTAATTAGTAGATTTTATAGTTAATTATGATGTTTTTTTTTATCAAAATTATCTTTTAATATTGTGTTATTTAGTAATATGAAAGGGAGGATTTTGTGGATCTTGTTTGCAAATTCTACTAACATGTCTATTTGTTTATCAATTTATTTTACTTAGTGCCATACTTTAATGTATAGTTTACGATTGAGATTAATTTAAATAAATATTTTAATTTTGTTCAATAATTTTAAATTAATTGTATCATAATTAATTCTAAAACAGTAGTTCCTATTTTGATGAAAGATATAAGTGTGAGGTTGTGTTAGAGATGTTTGTGTTGTTAGTCAATGAAATTAGTTAAACTTAATCATGTTTTTATCTCTACTTTTTAAAACTTGTTCTTAAAAAAATTATTAAGATTTAGCTCTAAAACATTTTTAAAATGTTCAGAATTAATTTTTATAGTCAATTATTTTTTATTGAGTGATAAATTAGATAACAAAAGTTCAGTTTATTATTGTTATTGTTATTTTTAGATAGTATTTGCAAAGTTCTCAAAACACTTTATTTGTTCACTACCATGTTCTTCAACCTCCTTTCTATCTTTAGGGTCATTGAATATTATTAGTCTCGTTCACAATATGCAAAAATTAGAGTTTTTCATTAAAGAAAATGACAACATTAACAATAGGGTCTATGCTTCTGTTCAGCAATAAATGCAGCAAGTGCTAAAGTTAAAGTTTAGGTCCTTATCTATTGTTGTTTATGAATATGATGCACTCGAAGTTTCTCTTAACGGAGACTTGTTCAATTTGAAGTTCAATAGAAGTCATAACAAATTCGATAGGAACTTTCATGTGGACGCCAAGGGCATCAACCGGCTCTCACACCTTTACCACCTACGTCACTTAAACGTTGTCGTTCTCTTCAATTGTGTTCGAGCTTTTTCTCATTAATGTTGTGATGGTGTTGATGAAGTTGCAATATCATTGCTTTTTGAGGAAAAGTCAATTAAATTCGCTTTCTGGGGTCCTATTTTGGATTTCTCTATCCCTTGCTTGGTTTGATGTTTCTAAGGATGCAAATGCTTCTATTAAGTCCATTAAAGCCTTTTGCTTTGACTTAAAGATTGCTAATTCCTTGAGAAAATTAGTTAATGTGCTCTCAGGAATTTCTCATGGTTAATGTGTTTGCTTTGTTGTGATATTGATACCTTAGAAGATAGTTAGGAGATATTCATGTTGGCAGTTAAATCATGGGTTTGGCTTGCTAGATGATGTTTCCGGTGCTTGTCGAATTAACGTTCGTACCTATTTGGTACACGATATTGAGTATGGAATTGGATATTGAAATTGGAATTAGATTTTAAAATTTTAATTATCATATGTTTGGATGTTAATTTGGAATTGGAATTATAATTTCATAGACTAAATATATGAAATTGTATAACAACTAAATTTGACTCACTTCAATTTGTAACTTGAATTATAAGAATTTAAATTTTTAATATCATAATTCATAATGCACTTTCACGTATCATGTTTACTCGTATATGTAGTTTCTCATTTTTGTAGTTCTTGTTCTTTCTCAAGTACTTTCATCCTCTCCCTTTTTCTTTGTTCTTTCTTTCTCTTCTTGTGTTTTCCTATTTTTCTATATTTTTTTCTCTTTTTAACTCTATTTTTATGTTGATTATTAATACTTTTTTTCCTATATTTTCTTATTTTTCTCTATTCTTTTCTTTCTATTGATTATAATAAAAGTAATTTTTTTTATATTCCTCTTTCTCTTGTTCTTCATATTCTTCTTTTATGTCTTCTTTCTTTTTATATTTGTTAAATATTTAATATGTTTACGTTACTATATTATATTACTATTATGTACTTACTGCAAACTATACTGTATTGCTATTCTGCACTTTCTATACTTATTGTAAACTAAATTGTATTGTTGTTTTGCACTTGATGCAAATTATATTGTTTATGTTAATTGTTTAATATTTTTTTTGAATTGTTAGATGTCAGAAGAAATATTAGAAATTAATTAAAGAACTATTAAAAGTACAAGAGAAAAAAAAAGAGAAAACTAGTGCTAAATCTAATTGTTATTATAGTGGTCACAATAACTTTATGGTATAAACAAAGAAATTTACCTAGAGAGCTAATAAAGGAAAGTGATAAAGACAAAAAAAAAAAAAACTTTTGAGACAATTATATTATGAGACTGATGAAAATTACTATAATCAATAACAAACTTTTTTTGAGTTTTGCAATATTTTACCTATTTTACCTCATGGTTTCAAAATGAGAGTTCTCAAAGGAACTTATATTCGTTTCGTAGAGATTATTTGTAGACGCTTTGGTGAAGTTGTAGCAACAATTATTGACCTAACCAAATAATACATCAATACTCACCATTTACAAATGAAGTTGTAAAAGATAACAAGTGAAAATAGTTTTCAGTAAGATCTATGCTAATTAGATTAAATAGTTTAAGAACATTATACACTAAATTTGATATTGATCATATATTGACAAGATTTTTGGAGCCTTAGATGGAACACATGTCTTAGTTATTGTTTCGTTTAAAGACCAAGGTAAATATAGGAACAGAAAATAACAAATCACTACAAATGTGTTGGGAGTGCATGATCGAAATATGAAGTTTATTTATGTCTTATCTGCATGGAAAGGTTCAACATCAGACTCTAGAGTTTTGCATACTGCCATGACAATATCTAATCCATTTATAATATCAAATGATGATAATTTCAAAACATATAATTATATTAAATTATTAATCATTCAATAGTTAACATTAATTTTTATTTTTCTATTTCAAAACATATAATTATATTAAATTATTAATCATTCAATAGTTAACATTAATTTTTATTTTTCTAGAAAAATATTATTTAGTAGGTGTAGGATATACCAATAGTCTTGAATTTTTGACACCTTATTGTTCTATTTGCCACCATTTAAATAAATGGTCAAGATATATTAATAGTCCAAGAACATGTAAGGAGTTATTCAACCTTTGTCATTCTTCAGCAAGAAATGTCATAGAGAAGACATGTGACTTATTGAAGAAGTGATAGGCCATACTACGAACACAATCATTTTTTAATTTAAAAACTTAGATGTAATTTAACTATTCAATTTTTTTAAGAAAAGAATATGTGTACATTATTATCATTAAGTCAAAACGTAAGTATAAATTATCAATGCTTATTGTAATTACACAATTACATTTGAGATAAACAAGAGAATGATGATCTTTTGCTAAATGAGGTATCATCGTGTGATACATATGAATCTACATCATGTTTGATTAAACAATCAAATCTTTTAAAAAAGAAAAATTTATATGATGATATCTTTCTTTTATTGTTTCTCACACCATTGACACTATCAACATAGCTTATCTATCAGATACTATTAAGACAAGTGATTAAGAAATATTCACTAAACTTTCAAAAGTAATAAACATAGAAGATTTAAAATTATTTCAAACTTATGATATTCTAATCAGTGATTCAAGGAATTATGAATCGTTTAAAGGTCTTCATGATTTACTTAGAAAATTTTGAGTCTTAATGCAAATTGAGAAATGATTAATTTAATAATATATAATATAACTCATCTTATTTTCTATCTAATTTAAGATTTCAATTTAACAAACCTAATATATCTTCCTCAAGGTAATTTTATTTCTACAACATATTTATAATAATTCAGACTATATATATAAATATATATATATATATATATATATATATGAATTTCGGTGCTGGTCCACCACTTAGCTAGTGCTTTTCGGTTTGATATGGGTTCAAGTTCAAGATTCCAATATAAATTTTCCTTTGGTCTAACAATATAATGTGTTATAGCATAAAGCATGGCGACGCAAAGTCGAGCAATAGATCATACAGTACACTTTATTATTATATAATTCAACTTTGAGTTTCACAAGGGCCTTATCTCTTATATTCAGTTGAAATTTTTCTTGTGGAAAATAATCAATTTTTTAATGGTTACTTTAGAACTCCACTTGCCTACTCACTACTAGTATTTAATGGAAACTAATATTGTGGCTGTGAAGTGAAACTACTGTTCATAGTCATGGTTGTTAAGGACTTTTCGTTGTTCAATGTGTTTCGCTTTTTGCAATCTTTCTTTGTTTGTAGAAAGAATTATTTTATCTTTTTTTTATGGTATAAATATTTTTAATTATTAAATGAATTTTATTTTTTAAAATAACAAATATGTATAATTTTTGTTGATATTTGTTTTTTAAATAGTAAATTTGTTAAATATATAAAAGTATAACAAATTGTTTAGAGAAATGGCTCTACTCTATATTATTCAAATATTGTTTTCATGATTACAGTAATGGCAGAGTCAATTGCATGAAAACAAAAGGAGAAAAAAAAAAAGAATTTATTTCTTTAGCAGTCTGAGCTTTCTTCCAAGATAAGAATGACCACTGTGTATTTATTCTTTTTGAATTTTTCATTCTTTTCATATACTTTTTTGATACTTTTTTTTATTAAAGTGAAATGTTAATGATACACTTTTTAAAATAATTTTTTAATAAACTTTTACTCATTGATTACTTTTTTAAAAAATCACAAAAATTATGTAAATTTAACACTAAATTTAATAAATTTTACTTTCTAATTTAATGATTTATATATATTTTTTAAAGTATATTAAAAAATATGACACTCTCTCTAATCTTTTTTATAAAAAAATAAATAAATAAATAATTTATTAAAATTAATAACAAAATTATTTCATAGATTTATATTATATATTTAAAATACTAACAATGATAAATGACTAAATTGATAATATAATAAATAAATGAATCTATCTACTATTATATATATATATATATATTTAATAAGTATGTCTTATTAATTTAATTCTTACGATAAATAAATATATTAAAAATAATAATTAATTTATTTAAAAATGTATTTATTTTTAAAATTTTAAAAAATATAATAGTTAATTTTTATAATAATAGCAGAAAAGAAAGTATCATCTGATTCTGCTATAAGTTTTGTCGTCTAATGTAAGTGCTTTTAAGCAAATTTAAAAACTGATGTAATAATGTTGAAGCGCTGGATCCCACTGACAGCGCCTTTTATTTTCGCACGGGTTGACGATTTTCAGGGTATTTCGCTTCAGCCGTAAAGCATGAAGACGCGGGTCATGCTAACGCTCCAAAGCCAAGATTACAGTTCCAATTGCCCTTTTTTTTAAATTTTTTTAATCGAAATAAACTTTTATATTAATACTAACATTGTGAATATTAAATAAATTAGTTTTTGAGTAGAGATGGTGAAAATATTTGCCCTCGTTAAAGTGAAATATACGTGATAAAATTACCCATTAATAAATAAAATTATAAAATTATCTCATGTATATAACTCTTATGTTTTGATTACCTTTTTAGTATTATGTGAATGAGTTATTAGTTAGGGCTAAGAGACTCATTCGTATTAACAATCTCCATTCTTCTGTGTAAACCTTTATTGTCACAATGGATTGCATGGAAGCAAGATCGGAACCAGGATTGTACTTTATTGAGATCAGCACAAATGAAAGCTTACAGAAGTTCATTATGACTGCATGGGCGATTCGAAAACACAAAAATGACATTATCTTTTCCAAAGTTCCTAGAGATGAAAAAAGGTTATTGCAACATCAACTGAAATCTTGTAGGAGTGGAAGTCATAGTACTGATTTTGGACAAGTTGTTCGTGATTTTAATGGCTTGGTTCAGATAGCAACTTGCAATTTTATTCAAAACCATATAGACCCAACAGTGGCTGAAATTTTTAGTATTAAGATGGAGTCTTAGATTGGCACAAACATAGAGTATAGATCACATTGAAAGAGACAAATGCCTTGCTATTACATAAGGCTATCGCAAAGGACAATTGTCATCGAGAAATATCACACATCATAGTCACAATCAACTATAAAAATTTGACAATTCAGTTCCATGCCATTTGCTTTCTGCTCACCAAGAGACAAGTGCACACTATTAGTGATAAGCTAGCTTATATTGCTTCTTTTATACATGGATACTATTTGGTGAAATGATTTCTCACATGAGATTTTTTCAAATGCTAATGTAAATTCCTGTTTTTATTAATTCGATAATGACATCTTTTGCCTTAAAAAACATTAACATAACACATTGAACATGGTAATAAAAGTTAAAAAAATATAATTCAGTTCAAAAACAATTAAGGGTATTTAATAAAATTTTAATTATATTTTATTAATACCTCTTAAAATTCCCATTAATTAATAATATTTTTAAAAAAATTTGGACTAAAATGTAATTGGCACTCACCGTTATCTTGCCTGCCTTTATTCCTTTATTTGCCATGTCGTGATATATTGTATTGGATCATATTAAATATAAAATAGTTAGGTTGATTTGAGTTGAATTACTTAAAATAATTTTCTAAATATAATTCAAATTGACTTCATATTTTTAATTAGCCTAAATTTTATTTTAAATCAAAATTAAAAAATATTTAACCTGTAATCACTCCTAACGTAATTTATAAAATTGTTTCCATTTATATTAGCAAGGTAGGTGACTTTAAGGAACATCAATAAAGTTTCTTAACTTACTTTTCATCATTTTATTATACTGATATTTACATATTGTATATTTTATAAAAAAAAAGTGTATATAGAATTTTTTTATAATATTAATAAATAATTCTTGTTATATCATACTATAAATAATTACTATTAAAAATAAAAATCGTATAATTTAAATTATATAACCTTAAGTTATCTATCATCTTCACGTCCAAAGATGTTATCTGGCTAAACATTGTTTTTTACTCTTATATAAAAATATCTCTTTCTCCACATACCTGCACACATATAAATAAATATGAACTAAATTTAACGTTCTCAAGCCATTAATTAAAGAAAAAATAAAAAAATATTTATTAAATAAAAAATTCCAAAATCATATTTATTAATTAAAGAATATCAAGTGATAAAAATTATTCTCGTCTATTATCATAATAAAAACTATTTATTTCACACTCTATTAATAGTTTGTAATAAAAAATATCATAACCCAAAGTAGTATGCTGAAAAAAAAACACACATAATATATATATATAAACCCATAGATTTGTTTTCAATTCTTCACACTGGTTTAACAATACGATTTATTCAGTAATTTTACATCAAACTTAATCTTTTATTTATTTATTTTTATCTTGCTTTCTATAAGGTATTTATACACTTTTAAAGAGTAAAAAAAGATTTTTTTTTTACAGTGCAATAATATTTTTTATTTCAACAAATAGAAAAGATGACGTACTTACTTACCCAACTGGCATCTTCCCTTCTTGAATCTTTTTGTTTAATTTAGAAACTAATTGCATGATAAACTAGCAGGAACTTGCTTGATTCAGTTTTTTAATAATTAATTTAAAAATATTTCGTACTGAAAGAATTGATTTTAAAATAAACGAGGTTAAAAATGATTTATGTTTTGGGAATCATATTTTACAACTGAAGTGAAGATGATAAAGTAAATAAAATATTGTAATATTATTTAACGTACGGGAATTTAAAACATTTGTTTTTATCTTTTTCTCTCTCTCTATAGGGAGAGAGTTTAGTAAAAAATATTATATTGAAAAATAGCTTTACCATAAAAAGAGTAAATTTGATTTCGACTGGTTGTTTTGAATTTTGTTAAAAATAATTTTGATAGAGTTGATCTTGAATTGTATAATATAATTGAGAAGTGATTTATTTATAAACTAATTTTAATCATAAATTATATAGTAAAACTTGTATTATGATATAAAAATTTATTTTATCCCTAAACAAAAATGAGTAATTACTTACCCAAATTTCTTCGTTTTGAAGTACATTTATTATAGTATATAGTTTCTGAACCGTGTGCGTAAAAACACCATGCATGTAAGCCTTCTCATTTTTGTTCAATCAATGTGTACACATTCAAAATTGTCGGCAACTTTCGTTCAAGTGACTTTTGGTGCTAAGGAATTCTTCACCCTAAAAAACACAGGTACATAACCTTATAAGTTAAAACTAATTTGTACACATTATTTTTTAATTAAAAAATTTAGCTAAATAAAAGAGTTTTAAGTAAATAATATCCATAAATTAAAGCAGCAACATTAATTTAACTTAACTTTTACCTTTGTGAATTCATAACATTATATCAAATTATATATATAACTCGTTAGATATAAATTAAATAAAAAATTTATATTAAGTATAAGAATTTTTATATTTAAATTAATATAAAAAATTATGTCTCATATTTATTTATTTATATTTTTCACTTAGCACCCATAAATAACGGATTCTCCACTAGAGATTGTATTGGGGATGGGAACCTATGATGGAGGGTCACTTACTGATTACCTATCCTGTACCATCTTTTTATATTCTCTAGCTTGGAAAAAAAAAATCCCAATCAAACAGTTTTCCATCGTTTTTATATATTATTTGAATTGAATCCAAATGCATGTATAGTTGTGGCAAGCCACCTAGAATAATGATATCAACACATTTTTAAAATTATTTATTTAATTTACAAATGGCCAAGTTATTGTAAGTAGATCACTCTGTAAAATTAACAATAAAAATATATTAAAATGAATATTTTCCAGCTATTTTTCATGTAATGATTCTGTATTTAGTTGACTCTAAGAATTACTTTATATCTCATGTATTATATTTTTCACTGAACTCCAAAAATGAGTCTGGTATCCATCTTTTACTTTACTCTAGTCAAATAATTACTAATTACGCACTTATAAAGTGTCATGAAGCTTCCCTTTCTGTTTTTGTATTTTTGCTTTGGGTTATAGACTTATTGTCCTATATATGTTTCATATTGAGAACATGGAATGAGGTAGAAAAATTTATTTGAAGATTCCTGGATAAAGGAGGTAATGGCTTCTGAGAAGCATGCAAAGGAAGCAATAGTCACAAACATAGATGATGAAATTTGCAAGGAGGAAGAGAAATTGCAAAACAAGTCCATGTTCAGTGTGAAGAGCCTCCTCTGGCATGGTGGCTCTGTGTGGGATGCATGGTTTAGCTCTGCCTCAAATCAAGTAAAATAATTCATAACCCTATTCAATTACCTAAAAAATATCGTCTTTTTTTCTCTGTAGTCCATTTTGGTTCAAAATTAATAGTTGAATTAATTTATGGGATTTTTTTAGGTGGCTCAAGTGCTGTTAACACTGCCATATTCTTTCTCTCAATTGGGCATGGTATCAGGGATCTTGTTTCAGGTGTTTTATGGGCTCATTGGAAGCTGGACAGCGTATCTAATCAGTGTCCTTTATGTGGAGTACCGCACCCGAAAGGAAAAGGAAAATGCTAGTTTCAAGAACCATGTCATTCAGGTTTGTTCTTTTGCAATCACTGCTCAATAGTATAAGATTTATTTATTTATTGAAAATTCTTTATTTAAATAAGATTTTATTGAAATATCTTTTCTAATGAATAGTATAAAATCAAAAATCAAAATTCCTAATACAAAGACAATATGTGTGTTGCTAATCTCATCCCATTTTTTATTTATAAAATTTAAATTTATAAGAATTAATCTCATTAGTATCTTGATGATATGGCCATCCCTATCCCACCACTGGCTTCTATGTCTACTATAAATAAAAAAGTTTTTATTAAAAAATATGTTAATATATTTAATAAAAATTGTTTTTAATGTTTTAATGAATATCTTAAGGGTACTAATCGGTATTTATCTCTAATTAATTCATTGGACGGAAACTAAATTGCAACGTTATGGGATTCCACTTTTGTTTATGGTCAATCATTTTCAGTGGTTCGAGGTGCTTGATGGGTTATTGGGTCCATTTTGGAAGGCACTTGGGCTAGGCTTCAACTGTACAATGCTTTTTTTTGCAGCTGTGATACAGCTTATAGCATGTGGAAGGTTAAGTTCTTCTTTCATTTCTAGAATTCCAGTTTGGAATAATCTGATTGACATTTAACATAGCTTTTTTTCACCACAACAAATCTTGTGGTTTCTGTAAGAACAGTAACATCTACTACATAAACGATAAATTGGACAAAAGGACTTGGACCTATATTTTTGGAGCTTGCTGTGCCACCACTGTGTTCATACCCTCCTTTCACAATTATCGTATCTGTTCATTTTTGGGTCTTGGAATGACCACTTACACTGCATGGTACATGACTATTGCATCCATTATTCATGGCCAGGTAAATCAGCATCTAAATTACAGTTTATATTAATATACATATTCCTTGAGGTTGAAATTAATTAAACCATATATCCATATATTTGCAATTAAATTGTTTGTTGCAGGTAGAAAATGTGACGCACTCGGGTCCAACAAAGCTAGTCCTATACTTCACCGGAGCCACCAACATTTTATTTGCTTTTGGGGGGCATGCAGTAACTGTGTAGGTCTCTCCCACATCATGGTTTAAATGATAGACTTGTGTATATCCTAGGTTTACGCAAATCATGTAGATTAAATTGATTACAAAGTATTTAATTATCATAATTTCATCTAAATAATTAGTTTAATACTATTGCATATGCAGTTATAAGATAAAATATAATTAAACTTTGTTATTATTTTAAAAGTTAGATATCATTCTTTAATCGTTACGTTTCTTATAAAAGAAGACATTTAAATGGATTAAACAGTTCTTATTTTGTATTAGATCATATTATTATTATTATGTACATGTAAACAATTAATGGTGAGAAATGGTGCAGAGAGGTTATGCATGCGATGTGGGAGCCAAAAAAGTTCAAATACACATATTTGTTTGCAACTTTGTACGTTTTCACACTAACAATTCCTTCTGCAAGTGCCGTTTACTGGGCTTTTGGGGATGAACTACTAAACCATTCCAATGCTTTCTCTCTCCTTCCCAAAACTGGCTTCCGTGACCTCGCTGTATCCCTCATGCTCATTCACCAGGTAAGCTTTTGCCTCACACAACTTTTACAATATACCTTTTGAAAAGCATTCTGATATTATCATATTATTGACCAAAGTAATTCAAATACTAGACCTGAGACAAAAATTTTGCTTAAAATCCAAAATTTCTAGACATGGCTCTAACCATGTTATCCTCACTAGTCAACTTCCCTTGAAACAGTGTTCACATTAAGCTTGAAAGATCAATGATTTGTCATCTTTCAAGCTTTGTGCTCATTCTTAATATGGCTTGAGTCCATGAATAATATCATAACCATGGTCATTATCCAGCCCTTGATTTGGTTTAACTCTAGAACTAATTTAGAGTAGAATAATGAACATAACAAAAAATTGTCATCCAAGAGTGAGTTTTCAATAGGATTTTAGACACATTTATGGAAATTTAGACCTTTTTGCCATGCAGAATGTGCCCCCATTATTAATACTAACCGTCTATTTATATACAACACGACTAAACGCCTTAATAGCAAGATAATCAAATTCTACACTTGAGTAAAATAAAATAAGAATCCTTAGATAACCGATAATAACAAATACTCCTAAACGATATTATTGTTCAATATTAAGATAAAGGCATCAATATTATAATTTTTAAAATATTAAAAATAATAATCCCAATACACTAAAATTTAAAAGACACCACTTAATCATTTTAGAAATGTGTTCAGCTTAGAGAATCATACTATGAATTTTTAATCCCATGATCGCCTCAATCTGCAATGCACGCTCCTTTACTGCCCCAAACAATCCATGATTATCATGTTATTGAGGCCATTAAACCTATGTATGATTATGATAAAATAAAATATTAGTAAATAAAAATTAATATCTTTCAAGAATATTTATTCAATTAAAGAAAAGAGAGATGAAAGATTTTAATAAAAGAGGGAAAAGAAAGACAATTATTTTAATTAATGAAGGAAGTGGGAGGTGCCTCTACTCTCCTTCCCTCCAAATTTCTTTTATTTGAACCAAATGTAGAAAATGATTATAATCTTTCCCTTTCTTTACTTTATTTTTGAACCAAACAAGGCAAGTAAAATTGTTTTCCTCCCTTCTCCTACGTTATTTTTAAATGAAACGAAATAAACTTAATTAAAATTATTAATCTTTTTCTTTCATTTTTCTCAAACCAAATACATAATTAGAATATTAGTGAAGAAAGCAAAATATTTTTTTTATTAAAAATATTATATTCTATATACAAAAGTTATTGATCATTTTTTTATAACATAAAACATTTAATATGATGTATTTAATATTTCTTAAATAATCTCGACAAGCATAAAATATTTTGCACATTACTACATATAAAATTTAATAATTCATAGAATATTTTTATTACTAATTAAAGTTTTATCGCTTACCTTTGCTTTTTTATTCCTTATATTTGGCTGCTCGCTTGCTAGTTAAATATTTAGCCACACTAAAATAATTTAAAGGAAAATACATTCAAAGAAACAATAAACACTAAATACTGTGTCTAAAGTAAATTTCACCTAACTTATGGATGCAGTTCATCACATTTGGGTTTGCGTGTACTCCACTATACTTTGTGTGGGAGAAGTTAATTGGGATGCATAGCACAAGAAACATTTGTCTTAGAGCACTAGCAAGGATGCCAGTGGTGATACCCATTTGGTTTTTAGCAATACTCTTTCCCTTCTTTGGACCCATAAACTCTGCAGTTGGAGCTCTATTGGTTAGTTTCACTGTCTACATCATCCCCACCTTAGCCCATATGCTCACTTACAGAAAAGCCTCTACAAGACAGGTAAATCCTCCTAACACTTAGCCATTTCTCAAAACATCACTTTTCATGTTATGTTCTTATGAAGAATCATCAGATGTTTCAAGTTCTAAATTAGATGTTGATTCGGAGTTATTTTAGTACTTTTTCCATGGATTGGCCAAATATTTGTTAGTTACTAAAGATCTATCAGTAAAATTGTTGACAATCTTGTTTGATTCCTATACAGTATCATACTCCTTCCAGTCTTTCATATATAAAGCAACTACAACTATTTTTTTAATCTAAAATATAAGAAATAATGACTCATTTCCATGTGTATTAATTCTATATTTTTATTTATTTTGAGACACTCATTCAGTACCTATATCATTTATTTAATGTATGAGCCATCAATTTAACCATTTATTATTATGAATATTGTTGAAATTAACTTAAAATTTATTGCGTATAATTACTTTTTATTAGTCTTAATTAATTAGTTATTGTTGAAGTATTTATCATCGTTACCACTGCTACCTTAGGATTTTTATTGAGTAATAGAATATTAGTGTAGTAGGGGCAATAGTCCAATGATACTATGCTTTATTTTGCAGAATGCTGCTGAGAAGCTGCCATTCTTCATAGGAAGTTGGACTGCAATGTATATCTTGAATGGGTTTGTTGTGATATGGGTTTTGGTGGTGGGATTTGGGTTTGGAGGATATGCTAGCATAACCAACATCTTGAAACAAATTAACACATTTGGGCTATTTGCAAAGTGCTACCAATGTAAGCCCTCAACACCACCCACTCTAGCACCAACACCCCCTCGTGCTCATTGAAATGAACACAAGTACTATTGGTCTTTCTTACAAAGTACATATATTTACCACTGTATTTCTGTCTAATTACCCGTGAAGGGTACTTACTTGCATATAGCACAGTGATGTACACTTTGAACACCAAATACAAAAATTGTAGCTGAACCAAACTTCAAATCATATATCACGCTGAATCTGATCACCTGCAATTCATAAAGGAACAGTAGGTGGCGCGGTCCAAATCAAACACTACAAAACCTTTCATTCAACATTTTTGTTTTTTTAATGTAAAAGCAAAATTTTAATTTTTTATTTTTAAATTAAGAAAATTATAATATTTACAAAAATAAATAAAAAGATTAATACATTAATTTATTAATTTTATTTTAAAAATTATGAGATTACAAAAATATGTTAAAAATAAAAAAATTTCCCTCCTCTTTTTTATTTATTTTTAATTTCCAAATATATCACAAAATAAACTATAGAAAATATGTGATATGCACCTTTTTTTTTTCTTTTCCATCCAGTTTAATCTAGATCCAATCCGAATCGCGCATTTAAATATTATACACAAATACTCGAATCACAGACCTTGTTTAAAGTATATTGAGTTGCTTGCTTCTCAGAACAACTTTTATTTGTGATATGTACTTTTTTTAAACAAATTTATTTGAATGATTTTCATTATTTGGTATACACACATTTTAAAAATACATTAAAAAAAATAAAGGAGATAAAATTGATCAGATACACTTTTGTTTTCTCAATCCATTCTACCTTCCATATATATTATATATTTTTAATTAGACATCTTCATAGATTCGAATGCTTGAATTAACACTTTATAATAGATCAATATACAAATATTATTAATAATTTTATTTTTATTTTTAGAGAAGTTAACTTAAGTTATAATGTAAAATATAAAAAAAATAATACCTTTTAATTTATTATTATTATTATTATTATTACTATGTCATGATTTCCTATATTACAAATATTAGCCTCGGAATGTAGTAGTGATATCCAAGTTGGAGTCCGTGGTTCATATCATATGAAGTGTGTGAATGAATACATTGATTGATTAGGAGCTATAAGAGATATTTCAGTTGATTGGCAATAACCTTAATAATGATTCTAATAATGCATATCAATGAACTCTTTCATGTTGCCGAAACTGATGAGATAACAGCACAATACCAAGCCCATATTACTTTTTCAAATTAAAGAAAAAATTGAAAATTATGATGGTTGGATTGGATTGCAAAAGTATTGCAACATGCACAGATTATATGTTCGTGTGATAAATAAATATAAAATAAATTATCTAATTTATAATATTTTCTGTCTCTTCAATAATTCAGTCTGATAACAATAACAATCATGACATGCTTCTATTAGAGCCGAGAGCGTAGAACAAATTGGCCCTCGGCTACTAGCCTCGTTTCTCTTAACACTGCTGTTGCTCCACCATCAACTATGATCCCTGCAGGTTCAACTTCCCCGGTGGAGTTTGAAGAACTCGTGACTTTCAATGTGTATACTGCATCACCAATAGAAAAATACACTTCCATCACAAACTTATTATGCTACAGAAAAATGGAGATTTCATGAAACATTAAGCTAAAGTTAAAAGTGTTCAATTGAATTCAAGAAAAATAGCGAATTAAGTGGTGTCAAGAATCAACTACCTTAAAGTGTGGGCCAATGTTTACCTTGGAAATGGTTTCATGCTCTTTTGGTTTAAAGTTGTACAAAATTAATTTTGAATGAATTGATTTTGAAATGCTAAATATATATGATTGGGAGTTGAGTTTGCATGATAAAATTAATTTGAACATCTTTTTATTAAAATGTATGTTTTTGGTTTAAAAGTGAGAGAATTGATTTTGCAACTTCAAAACAAACAATACCTATATTACATCTATGATGGGATGCATAACTAGTATAGTTATGTGAAAAGTTTAACATATTAGCATATGACTTTTTGGCTATGCAATTCTCCAAGACAAAATTGATTAAGGTGAAAACTGACCTGGTGGAGGGGAAGTGGAAGTTGGTGTGGTAAAAGATCTGCTCATAAATAGCTGAAATTTGACACCACGTGTGGGATTCTCCTTAAAAGCAGAAACCAGAAGATTGGGGAGAGGTAAGGCAGGAATTTGTTGCTCTAAGGTTGATAAGGGGGCTTCAGAATTGGGTTTCAGCTTCTTGTGGTCTTGATCATACGCGCCAGAAGTTGGGTTACCAAGTGGTTTGTCCACGAACACACCAAAAGCATTGTGTCTTTTCTTTTGGTTGGGTCCATGATCTTCCATGCTTCAAGATGAGATCACAAATTTTCGATTTATGATTGTGTATATGAATTTAGAGGCCTTCTTGACAACAATGGTGGTAATATGATAAGGAGAATTAAGGTTTATGTGTATGTGGTATGTACATATATAATTTCTTCTTATTCCACTTTTCTTGTCTAGTATAAGCACGTAACTTTTTAGATAAAGTATAAATTATGTAAGAATAGGAAATATTGTAAGTTTCATCTACCATCAATCAAGGGACTTTTATCAGTCCAACTGCAAAAGTTTTCAATGTGCCACAACTTTATTCACTTTCTCGAGCCCCACCTTTATTCTTGTTACCCTTACTTTTTCTTTCCTACTACAGTGGCATACACATTTTTTAGTTTATTTATCTAACCTTCTTGATTCGGTGATTCCAGAATATGGATTACTGATTAAGATATAATGTATCTTATCATAGAACTGCCTCATGTACCACACATGATCATAATTTCACCAATGAAATTATCTCAGAAATTTAGGAATAACTATCAATAATATGTGTGGGGAGCTTCCCTCAATGCTCATTATGACATCTAGAATAATTACAATTTCATTCCTTAAATTATTGAGCGGGTGCTAAAGACAAACGGGCATATAAGTAAGTGAAATTTATTTTTTCTTCAGAAAAAAACACGTCAAAAGAAAAGACAGATAGTGGTGGACAGCCAATACATGAAGTAGAAATGACCAATTTGTAATTCTAGTTGCAATAACTATCCTATCCCCTTTTACAATGGGTGATTCTTACATGGCAAGTTCTTATATAACATGTATAAGTTATGCGAGTTGTAATTAAAATACATTTATTTTAAAAATATTTTTATTCATTTCAAATAATAATTTATTGTTCTAAAACGGAACCTGAAAAATCATGTTAAAGTAAGAATTGTTCCCAAATCTGAAGTCTCTTTATGACTTCAGGCTACAAGCCCAATTAAAATATATTTTCACTGTTCTTGGATCCTTTCAAGTTTGAATAAATGACGTTGCATTTCAGTCTTTTACATGTTAAAGGGTGACTTGTTACTTTAAGGCTTTAAGCAATGCTCAAACAGAATCCAAGTTATCCCATACGAATTGACTGTTAGGTGGTACTCGTTTCTGCTCCTTCCCTGGTTTGAGTATTTAAAATTTGCATTTTCTTTCCATATTTATACCCTTCATTTCAACACTAATCTTACCAATCATGGACCAAACTCAAAATGAATCTTGTTGGATGCATTCTATCAAAGTGACACTAGGGTCTCTAGATCACAGAGAGGTTAAATCCTTCATAAGCAGCATAACCAGTGTTTCAAGCAAGCTAAGAAAATCCAATGAAGAAGCTTATTCACCAAAGCTTGTCAGTATTGGACCTATACATAGAGGAACTAGTAGCCACCTTCTGGCCATGGAAGAGCACAAATGGCGTTACATGCTGGCACTTCTTCACAGAACCCAAAATCCAGTTTCAACCTTGGATGAATGTGGCACAGTCATTCTAGGCTTGGATGATGCAGTTCGTGCAAGCTATGGAGGTAACATAAAATATGACCCTCATGAGCTTGCAAAAATAATGTTACTTGATGGATCTTTCTTGTTAGAACTCTTACTTAAGTGTGCTCCACCAAATATGGTACCTCAAATTCCAAAAGAAGATAACCATAATAATGGTTCTTCTGATCCCATACTAGGACACACAGAAATGTTCTCATCTATTCTAACTGATTTCACTCTACTAGAGAACCAAATACCCTTCTTTGTTCTCAAGACATTGGCTAGGATACTTCTTCCACATGTCTTCACAAGTGCAGATGATCACCTTGTTGCTGATCTTACACTGTCGCTCTTCAGCTACCCTTTGATTAGGTGTCCTAGTGTGGCACATTTTCTTCATCTTATGCACTTGTCGTCCATTGTTGATGAGGGGCAAAAGGTGAAACAAGCTCAGCAAGAACTAAAGCGTTGTGCTACAAGGCTTAGAGCTGCAGGGGTAACAATTAGACCAGTGAACAGGCAGAGCAAGTTGGTTAATTGGTTTGGTTTTGACATAAGATTCACCAAAGGGTTGCTTGAAATTCCACCACTGCATGTAGTTGAAACAACTGAGGCCTATTTGAGGAACTTCATTGCTTGGGAGCAAAGTAGAATTGGAATCAATAGGCAATTCACTTCTTATGCTTTGTTTCTGAGAGGGTTGATATGTTCTCTACAAGATATTGAGCTGCTTGTGGACAGTGGTGTTTTGGTTAAAGATAATAAGATTAGCAACGAAGATTTGCTCACTTTATTTGGCACAATCACAAAGGGAGTGGACCAAATGGACTCTAGTTATAGTAAACTTTGTGAGGACTTGAATGCTTACTCAGCAGTGAACCCTTTGAAGAAGTTCCCTATATTGATGTGGCATTGTTGCAACCTTTGTGTAGAATGCATCAGATACTCTTGCAAACACAGCTATAGAATATTGATTAGGGATCATATCCCAAATGTGTGGAAATTGATAGGAATTGTGGTAGCTGCAGTGTTACTTACTCTTACCATTATGCAAACCTATTATTCAGCCCGTGGTTGAGTAAATTTTGTTATTGAGTAACTATAACCATAATTCATGGTAGACCAGAAATACTGTACCAAGTCTCAAAAGTGAAAGGAAGCGAAATCAACTTTCTTTTATTTATATTCAATTATCGAGATCGGTTTGTGCAACTAGTGTTAGTGCAGTAGTAATTGGATAGCACATGCATAAAGATAGACAGTAGATTAGGCCATCAAAAGTTTCAACGACAAAATTTGGTGGCCATATAGCTAGTAGATACTTCAGAGTTCAGACATGTATAGTAGACTGAAAAGGGAAGAGCTTTCATCCTTTCACACCAAAATACAGTAATATCATTGTTTCTATTTTTTGAAGCGGCATTGAGTTAAGTTTCAATTATTGGAGCGAATTTGTGTACCGTTATACCCTTTTTCTTTCAAAGCCACAAAATAGAAATTTTTATATACAGTAACTTTTTATTAAAAGCACATAATATCACAGGAGTACACACACACACACACTGACAAAAAACCGTTCTTTTAATTTTACTTCATAACCTTTTTAATTGTGTTAAAATTGATTACATTTATTGTAACATTATTTTTTAAAAAATATACCAGTAAACATGAAAGAAGTGAGAAAATGTTAAGAGAGATGCAAAGCATCCATTTCAGCACAAACCAAATAGAAGAAAGGTCTAGTATGATGGCAGAGAGATGTGAACGAAACAACCCACATGGAACCTATGTTAAGCTCCAAATGCCACAAATTATAACGTATTTCGCAGCAAGTTCTGGCACTCAGCAATGAGTTCCAGTCCTTTCTTGCGTAGGAACTCTGCTTGAAGCAACAACAAAGCTCCTTTGTGACCCTTTTGCCCTGCCATCTCAATCTCATTGCTTGAGAGGCTCATTAGCTTCAAAAGATGTGTTGCATCAGCCATCTCAAGTCCAACATCTATTGTAGGCTCTTTATTTAACAAATCTTTCAAACGTTTCACGGTACACTCACGTTGAGATGCAACTTCTTTGTAGATCCCCCCGGATTTAGGCCTCCTGGATAGTTCCTTAGCTGCCATAGACATAACTGATTCTAGCTCACTTTGATTCTGTTCTTCTTTCCAATAACAGCCTGCACAGAAAAATGCAACCAATAATTGATGTTTAATTATTTGGTGGTGTTATATGATATCTATTAATGTTTTCTATATGGAGAAAATGGAGTACTGTTAATGATGGTAAATGATGTGTTAATGATTCATATAGAGAAAAAGGGAGAGGTTAGAACTCACTATATGAGACTGTCTTGCCAACTTTCACATCATTATCGACATACTCAATATGTGATGACTTGGTACCAAAGGATTGTGGTGATGATGGACTATTAGATGAATGCTTAATGGAAGTGGATGGAGAGAAAAAGTCTAGTGTTTCTTTAGTGCTAATGTTTTGTTTGGGAATATGAGAAGGGGAGAAAGTGGTGGTGGTGGTTTCTGATAAGGAAGCTTCAGAATATGGTTTGAGTCTCTTGTGGCCATGATCAAATGTAGCCTCTTGTGAATCTGTTTCGTTGCCAAATGGTGGAGAATAAGGAACAAACTTGGCAAAAGCATTGTTGTCACTGCTTCTTTTTCTTTCGTTCTGTTGGCCTGCAGTGACAGCATCCTCCATTGTTTTCTCCCACTCTTTTTTTGCAGCCAAGATAACAGTGTGGAAGTTCTTTCCTTGGTTTTGTGGCAACCTAGTCCAAAAGCAAATAATAATAATAATATTTTTTTTTAACGTTAATTTAAAAGACACGCAATAAATTTTTATTAAAAATTATATTATTTAATATTATTATGTATTAAATTTTATAATTTATATACATAATTATGTGTCTCAAATATAATAATAATAATAATAATAATAATATACCTTTATATATAAAGATATGAGTCATAATTCTTAAATGAAAATATTGAAAAATATTTTCTTAAATTAGAGCACTATAAATACTAGGTGGGTTATTTGGTTAACATGATACATTAGAAAATGATAAGATATAACGCTAGATAAAGATAAAATATAGATAATATCATGTCTTTTAATGTTTGAGGTAAAAAAAAGTAAAAATTATATTTAAATGATAAAAATTGTCTTTTATTAAAATTAATATAATTTTTTAAAAACATTTTGTATATAAATTTTTTACTTTTAATAAATATACATTAAAAAATAAAAAAATTGTATATATATAATATTAAAATTATATTATTAAACTATAAGTAAAACAAAATAAAGTAAAAATAATAAAATTTTAAATTTTTTATAAAATGGGTAAAATATTTTTTTAAAATGTTCATATAATATTTTTATTAAAAATGTTCATATTTTTTTATAATTAAAAATATTTCCTAATTATATTCTTATTTAATATAATAAATTATTGTTATTAATAACTAAAATATTGATTT